CTTGGGCGGCTGACTGCACCGAGGCGCTTGATCTCAGTCATGAATGGGGTGATGGGCAGGATGGCACGCTCAAGACGCCGGAGTAGCTGGGTATCGAGCTGTAGTGTGGCAGCTTGTCGGGCGCGTTCTTGAGGATCCACGACGAGATACCGTACTGCGGTGGAGTCTTGCGCTGAGAGTGGGCGTCGGTACATGGTGCCGTGTATGAGCATATTAGAAGGGCGCAAATGATTTCCGAATCGTAGCTCCTTCGTGGGACCAGCGCTCTGGATTCCGTGGACTGCCAAAGTGAATAAATTGTTGTAGCGGCGGCTGACGGCTGTGAAGCCCGTGAGGCGGGGTGTGTCTGTAGCGCCGTCGTGAAGGGGATGCCCTTTTGCGTCGGTGGCGGGCCACGTGGATTCGTACATGCTGAGAAGAGCAGGGGAAGGCAAAGGGAAGAAGTCGGTGAAGGGGACGGCCCATTTACCGTTGTTGCAGCAGAATGTGAACGGCTCGCAATGGAAGAGCCGTGCTGAACAGTGCGGGCAACTTCGAGTCATGTCGCCTACCACGAAGGTTTCGTCGTCATGGGCTGGGCGCCCGTTCATGGCGCACTCCAGGCAAACTCCTCCTGAATATTGTTGCTGGTGGGCAAGCGTGTCACTGGGTACAGTGAAGCCGCATTGAGCGCAGGTGGTCTCCAGGTGGGAGCAGGTTTGCCCAGATGTTTGGGGAGCGCTCGCTGTGCAAGTGCGGCATATTCGAGCCGCCCGCTTGATTTGCTTGCTGCTGAAGCTTTCGCGCGGGCGGTCCAGGCCACAGCTGGAGCAATGCAGCTCAGCAGCGCTGGGTCGGCCGCGACTGGCGGGTCGTCTGTGCACGTGGGAGGGTTGGCCGTCGTCGCCAGCGCAACGTTTGCAACGTGTGCGACGGCGCTGCAGACTTGTGAGAAGCGCAGTTGCAGAGCCAGGGAGGAGCCATGCTCCACGAGCAACCTTCCGAAAGCCAGAGAACATGGTGCCGTCTGGGCCCAGACGGCTACGGAGGAGAGAGGATGCGTTGGAAAGGACACTGACGCAAGCACCAGGGTGGCATGGTGCGCAGGGTCGCCTGACACGTTCCTGAGAACGGAGGAGGGCAGTTGTTTGGACTGTTGGGCCTCCCTTCAACCTTCGAGAAGCCCCGTGGGTTCCCACAGCTTGCGTCGATGTTGCGGCTGCGCTTCCGTCGGATGAGAAAGGGTCCTCGTGGATTGCCACAGGTCGCCTCAGGAATGGGAACAAAGCAGGTTGGCGCTGTCGGATCTCAGGGGGGCCCTGTGGGTTCCCACAGCTTGCGTCGATGTAGAAACAGGAGCACCGGTGGACCGTAGAGAGCCATGCGGGCCCCATTGCTTGCGTGCTGGGCTGCTTCCGGATTTGAGGGGATCCCTGCGAGTGCCCACAGCCTGCGTGGAGGTGGCAGCGGAGCTTCCGTCGGACCGTTGAAAAGCCATGTGGGCGAATGGGGAATCCTCAGGGGTGGGTGGGAATGACCTTTGGAGTTGTGTGGGAAGTCCTGCAGGTGTTTGGGGCCTTCTTGGGCCTGTGTTCGTTTGGGGCAACTTGGGTTGTGAGTTGGAGGATCTCGTGGTACGCCCCTCGGGGCCTCGAAGCGTTCTGAGGGCCGTGTTGGAGCTTCTGGGGGTCTTTGTGGCGACGTTTGGGGGTTCCTCTGGGGCTCCTTGGGGTCTCTTGGGGGCCTGTTGGGGTCTCGGGAGGCCCGTCTGGGGTTTCCTGGGGCTCCTCGCGGCGAACAGTTAGGTATTTGAATTTTTGGTCGCCGTCTTGGCCTGTTCTTGGGGCTGTCTTGGGGCCCTTCTGGGTCGTTGTGGGCGCCTCTTGGGCGGTCTGGGGGCCCCCTTGAGCTCTGTTGGGGCCGTCTTGGGGTCCTCTTGGGCTGTCTTTGGGCGATATTGGGAGCCTCTGGGGCCGTTTTGGAACGTCAATAAGCCGAAACGGTGGGAAGGCGTAGCACATTGAACAACACAATGGGAAACCAAGAATTATCTTCTCTCGGGGCCTCTTGGGGGGGTTCTTGGGGGCCTCTTGGGGCGTCCAGGAGGCCTCTTGGGCTCTGCTGAGGCGTCTTCAGGGCCTCTGAGTGCTTTCTGGAGACGTCGTGAGCCGTGTTGATGCTGCTCATGCCCGTTCTGGAGCGTTCGTGGGCTTTCTGGACGGTCCGGGAGGTGCTTTCTGGTGCTCTCCGGGGTCTCCGCCGCTGCCCCGGGGGAGCCTGGAATTAGGTAGCCCCCATCTCTGTCGGGTTTTTCCGTGTCGTGTAATACGGGTAAGGAGAATCTATATATACACACACACATTGTATTTATGCATGTAAATGTATGTATATATACATACAAACATATATACATACAAACACACACACACACACACACACACACACACACACACACACACACACACACACACACACACACACACACACACACACACACACACACACACACACACACACACACACACACACACACACACACACACACACACACACACACACACACACACACACACACACACACACACACACACACACACACACACACACACACACACACACACACACACACACACACACACACACACACACACACACACACACACACACACACACACACACACACACACACACACACACACACACACACACACACACACACACACACACACACACACACACACACACACACACACACACACACACACACACACACACACACACACACACACACACACACACACACACACACACACACACACACACACACACACACACACACACACACACACACACACACACACACACACACACACACACACACACACACACACCACACACACACACACACACACACACACACACACATATATAATATATATAATATATATATATATATATATTATCATACGCACCTCTCCGGAGTAGAGCTCAGAGGCGATTAGTGCGTACGCGGGGCGTTCGCGATGTTTCTGGCCGTTTCGCTCGGGACATCCTCGATGTTTTGAAAATCGGTGGCGCCCCTCACGCAGATCGTGACGTCTGGGTCCAAAAACACATGGGAATTTCAACATTCTAGCATATAACCTTCAAAAACACATAGTGATTTCAATGATTTTGGCTCCGATTCTCAGAGAATGGCGGTTTCGCCGGAGACACCCTCCCAAAATCGAGCCCCGACGTACCTTCTGGTACCCCAGACCCCGCCTCGGAGCCTCCTGGGGGCCTCCTGGAACCTCCTGAGGCCTCCTGGGGCTTTCTGTGCGTTCTGGTACCCCAGGCTCCGCCTCGGAGCCTCTTGGGGGTCTCCTGGAACCTCCTGGAGCCTCCTGGGGCCTCCTGCGGCCTCCTGGAGGCTCTTGGGGCCTCCTGGAGCCTCCTGGGGTCTCCTGGAGACTCCTGAGGCCGCCGGGGGCCTCCTGGGGCCTCCTGGGACCTCAGAACTACATGCACACAAAGAGACACAAATCACACCCAACACATCACACGCTAGACAAACATAACACACACACAACACCTACAACGCACAGAAAACACGCACAACACAGAGCACACATCACACACACAACACTCACAACCGCGGGGCCTCCTGGAGCCTCTTCCGGTATCCAAATCGGGCCTCTTGAGGTTTCCTGGGGGGTCCTGGTACACAAATCGCAAGGTGTGGCAACCCCACTTGCGCTCGAGTGCGACCTCGATCTTAGATTCTTCTGCGTTCACCTCCTGCCTCTTCCCCTTCTCTCAGGCACGCCCTGGCGGCGCCGCCCAAACTTTCCCTATTCCATCTCCGATCCTGCAGTCATGGTGTCTTCCTGCTTCAAACGCCCTTTCAGTTTTTTGTATGAGCCTGGGCACACACGTGCCACTTGTATATGTATGTATGCATGTATGTATGTATGTATGTATGCATGCATGTATGTGTGTATGCATGCATGCATGCATGCATGCATGCATGCATGCATGCATGCATGCATGTATGTATGTATGTATGTATGTATGTATGTATGTATGTATGTATGTATGTATGTATGTATGTATGTAATGTATGTAATGTATGTATGTAATGTATGTAATGTATGTTATGTATGTTATGTATGTAATGTATGTAATGTAATGTGTGTAATGTATGTATGTATGTATGTATGTATGTATGTATGTATGTATGTATGTATACGTACGTACGTATGTATGTATGTATGTATGTATTTATGTATGTATGTAGTGTATGTAATGTAATGTAATGTAATGTAATGTAATGTAATGTAATGTAATGTAATGTAATGTAATGTAATGTAATGTAATGTAATGTAATGTAATGTAATGTAATGTAATGTATGTAATGTTGTAATGTAATGTAATGTAATGTAATGTATGCAATGCATGTATGCATGCATGCATGTATGTGTGTATGTATGTATGTATGTATGTAATGCATGCATGTATGTAAGTATGTATGTAGTATGCATGCATGCATGCATGCATGCATGCATGTAGGTATGTTAGGTGTGTATATATACACACACATACATATATATATATATATATATATATATAATATATATATATATATATATATATATACGCCCTCCTGGGCCGAGCCGGGAGGGCGTGGCGTGCATACACCGCTGGTGGGCTCGGGGTGGACCTGCCCAGGCGGCAGTGGCTACGCGCCGGTCGTTGAACGCAGGCATCTTGGGATCTCTTTTTGGAGCCTTCCTGTCTCAAGAGCCGAGCGGTGGCCCCCCCAGACATGATCCCAGACATCCGGCTGCTCCAATTTTTTGGGTGCGCGGACCCAGGAGGTCTGGACCATTTCCCTGGGACCAGTTTTTCGTCCTGAGTCGTTTTCTGACGCTCCCGAGGCCCGGCGAGGGCCCCCAGAGGCCGGAAACTGGCAAAAACCGCCCGCTCCAATTTTTTTGGAGCGTCGGATCTAAGGGATCGCGTCGTAAAAAAAATCAGGACGGGAGGTTTTTGGCTACTTTTGGTCCCGGGGGGCTCTCGCCGGGCTTCGGGACCGTCCACAAAACGACTCAGGACTAGAAACGAGTCTCGGGAAAAAGGGTCGGGGCTTCCAGGGACGCCGTCCTGACAACAAAAAATCGGGACGTTGCATGTCTGGGCCTCCTCCCTCCTCTTCAGGGGGCGGGCGGAGGCCCGGTCTACGCCCAACGCCTCGGCGCTTTCCGCTCCCGCCCGCTGCTCCCGGCCGACGAGTGCCGACTTCGCCGCCCCAGGAGTGCTTCGGCGTCCCGGCGCTCCGGTGCGGGGCCTGCTCCGGCGCGGGCTGGACGCCGTGCACCCGCTGCGTGCCGGGGAAGGCCTTCCACTAGCCGCCCGTCGGTATCGCTCTGCCGATCCCCATCCCCGTCCCCACCCCCATCCAGACCCCCTCGTATCCTTGCGCCCCAGTTGGGGGCACACGCCTCGAAACCGGAACCCAGACATGCGACGTCCTGATTTTTTCAGGACGGCGTCCCTGGAAGCCCCGACCCTTTCCCTGGGACCGGTTTTTCGTTTTGAATAATTTTTTGGCGGTCCCGAGGCCCGGCGAGGGCCCCCAGGGGCCGAAAATAGGCAAAAACCTCCCGCCCTGATTTTTTCACGACGCGATCATGTCCGGGAAGGGAACGGCCCATAGGGTCAATCGGCCATGGGGGCTGAGGCCACGTTCATGGGGATAGGGGTCGGTGAAACGATGCCCAGCCCGCCTCGTCGCCGCCGCTGCCCGCCGCGCCGGGCCGCCGCGGCTCGCGAGCTGCGCCTCCCCGGCGGGCGCCGCCCCAGAGGCGGCTGAGCCGCAGTGGAGCCACGAGCGCGCTTCGCTGCTCGCAGGGTGCCTAACACAGACATGATCGCGTCGTTAAAAAATCGGGACGGCAAGTTTTTAGCTATTTTCGGCCCGGGGAGGCCCTCGACGGGCGTCAAAAAAGGACTCAGTACGAAAAACTGGTCCCGAGGAAAGGGTCGGGGCTTCCAGGGACGCCATCCTGAAAAAATCAGGGCGTCGCACGTCTGGGAATTATGCTCGCACACGTCGGAAGACACGTCAGGTGCCTCGACGTAATAGATCGCAGATCCTCCCCTCCCTTCCCCCCTTCTCCCCGGCGTGGCGGCGCCCGCGTGACCTGTCCAGGCGGACAAGAGTCGGGTATAGCCAGGACCCCAGGTAAGGGGACCCGGTTAGTGGTAGGGCCCCGGAGCCCCTGATCTGGCCAGAATCAGTAAACCAGGTCTGCCGTAGCTTGTGTTTTTTCGGGTGACGGCAGTTCCAGTCAGTGGAACGGGGCGGGGGGGCGTCCTCCAGTACACACCATTGAACCAGGTCCCACTAAACCCAGTTCTGCCAACGCCCGATAGAGCGCCGCTGCTGCGATGCTTCCCAGATTTCGCTGGTGGTGAGAACCCTGTCGGAGTGTCGGGGCGCCGTCTTGAAGTCATCTGGGAGTCTCATGCGGGGGGCGAATAGGGATCAGCAGTAAACCACGTTTTACTAAAGGGGGGTCTGTCCATCCCCGATTGCAGCAGGGAGCCCTCGCCGTGCACGTTGAGATGTCCGTGTCCTGCACCAGGACTGGCCCTGGGCCGATCGGGCGTTGCGTTGCGCAGCGTTGGCCCTTCCGTCGGGTCTGTCCCTCTACAGGAGACAGGAGGAATACTCAAAACTAGTAAAAGAAATGTTCTGGGGACTATTTCTCGAGTATTTTTTTGTTTTGTTTTTGCGTGTGTGTTTCTTTTGGCATCTGTTTTGACTTCTTTTTTTTTGTTCGTCCAAAATTTCCCTGTGGGAGGAGCAGGCCCGACCTCGGTTTCCCCCCCGCGGCGGCTCCGGGCCCCTCGCGAGCCGCTGCCCTCTGCGAGCGGCGGAGCGCGCTCGAGCCCAGCTGGGAGCCCCCCCGCCCCCGGGCGGCCGCCGACGGCTGCGCGGCCGGCAGGGGGGCGGAGCGGCGCAGGCCGCGGGCGCGGCGGCCTCCCGCCGGCCGCGGCGGGGAAAAGCAGGGCCGCGCGGCGGGTCGAGGCGGGAGGGGCCCGCTGTCGGCGGAGGGCACGAGCCGCCGCCCAGCAGACCCCCCCCTTCGGGGAAGGGAGGAAGCACGGCGGGAGGTTTTTTTTTCCATCCTTTCCGCCCCGGGGGGCCCTCGCCGGGCCTCGCGAGACCGTCAAACAAATGAGTCAGGACGGGGAAACGGTCCCGGGGAAGGCGTCGAGACCTCTGAGGGTCGACGTTCTGAACAAATCACGACGTCGGGGGTCTGGGAGCGGGTCTTGAAGGCAACGGGTCCTGAGGTTTCTTGCCGTTGTCGAGCTCCTGGGGCCCCTCCACGGGCCCCGGGACCGTCCGAAGGCGACCGGGGATGAGGAGCTTGTCCGGGGAAGGTCCCGGGGTCCAGGTCCCGCTTCCCTCTTGGAGGGCGCGTAAAGGGGGGGGGCGATAAATGAGGGGGGGCAGCGAGGACTGCCGACAAGGGGGCCCCTTTATGGAGCCCCCGACAAAGGGGCCCCCTTGCAGGGCCCCAGAGGGCTCCTTCAGGGCCCGAGAAGGGCGCCTCTTGCTCCCTCTGCCCCCCCCACCCCCCTTCCTCGCCCCCCCATTCTCAGGAGTGCACAGACACATTCAATCGTCCATTCCCAGGAAGATATGGGAAAATCTGGGATGTGGGGGGGAAACAAAAACCTAGAACAGATGGGATATACTAGAGGGAATCCTGTTGTCTCTGTCTACGTCTTTGTGTGTCCCAGGGCCCCCTTCACACTCCTCCGCGCCCAGTGCCCCCAGAGCCCCGCTCCCCCCGGCTGCGGAGCAGCCGCCTGCGGCCCCTCCCCGCGGGCGCCTCTCCCCGGGGAGAGGCGTCCGAGCCGCGGTGCCGTGGAGCCGCTCCCGCGCGGGGGCCGCCCCGGCGCGCGGGCCAGGCGCGCGTGGCACGGGCCCCCCCCCCCTCCTCGCGGGCGTCGGGGGAGCGCCGCGGGGGGCGCCTCGGCGATGGTCCCGCCCACAGTCCCCTCCTCGCCTGCGGGAAGCTGGCACTCTTTTTTCGGGGGGTTCTGCATCAGTTGTCTTGCTGGTCTTGTCTCTGCGCCCGCTTCCCGTGCCCCCGCTCCTGTGATCATCTCTTCTTCGCCGTCTGGTGGGCGCGAGTCCTGGGGAAGGGGGGGGGAGGTCGGCGCCCAGGGTCTCCTCGGCCAAGGGGCTCCTCGGCCTCCCTCCGCGCGCCTCTCTCCTGCTGGGGCGACCGCAGGACGACGGCCGCTCCTTCGGGGCCCCTCGAGCAGCACCTCTCCGCCGCTCCAGCCCCACGGGGGAGCGACGACGACCACGGCGATATGACGACGTCGAGCATTCCCAGGATTTCCCAGGCCCCCAGGATCCCCAGGATTCCCAGGCTCCCGCTTCCCAGGGGCCCGCTTCCCGGGTCTGCCAGGGGCGATGCAGTCTCAGCATGCTTGCGGATTCGTGCGCTCCCGGTGTGCAGTCTTTTGTGGCGCAGTCGGTCCGTTGTGCAGCCTATGTGATGCAACCCGTGTGGCAATATATGCGATGCCGTCTTTGTGGTGCAATGTGTGTGGAGCATTCTACGTGGTGCAATGGATGGTAAGCAATCGACGTAGTGCAAGCTACGACGTGTAAGCCATGTGGTGCAAGCTATGCGCTACGCGGCGCAAGCCTCCGCTGCACGAGCAAGCATCCCACCCATCCAGAAGCTTCCTCGACAAAACTCAACTACCGCAGTGACGCGGTGAGGACCCGTCTGATACAACTCCATGACTCGGGCCGGCGGGTAATCTGGTGACGATGATTTCGACGACGACGACGACAGCGACGACGACGATGATGCTGATGCTGCTCATGATGATGATGATGATGATGGTGATGGTGGCGGTGATGGTCATGATGATGCTGCTGATGATGATTATGATGATGCTGCTGCAGATGATGAAAATTGTGATAGTGATTGTGATGGTGGTGATGATGATGATGATGATGATGAGGATGATTATGATGATGATGATGATGATGATGATGATGATGATGATGATGATGATGATGATGATGATGATGCTGATGCTGATGCTGATGCTGATGCTGATGCTGATGCTGATGATGCTGCTGATGCTGCTGATGCTGCTGATGCTGCTGATGCTGATGATTATGATGATTCTGATGCTGGTGCTGATGATGATGATGATGATGATGATGATGATGATGATGATGATGATGATGATGACGGTGATGGTTTTGGTAATTGTGCCCCTGGTGACGAGGACGGCGAGAACGACGATGCCGGTGACCACTGCGGTGATGATGACGATCGCAATAGCGATGATGGTAATGCTGGCGCTGACAGTGATGACGCTGGTGATGATGATAATGGTGATGATGATGATGCCGACGATGGTGAAGCTGATGCTAATGCTGATGCTGATGCTGATGCTGACGATGATGAATTGTTATGAAGGCTTTTGACGATGATGATGATGCTGCTGCTGATGATGATGATGATGATGATGATGATGATGATGACAATGATGAAGCTGATGAAAATGACGACTATGATGATGCTGCTGCTGCTGATGATGATGATGATGATGATGATGATGATGTTTGACGATGATGATGCTCATGACGGTGATGATACTGATGCTGATGAGGATGATGATTCTGCGGATGATGACGATGATGGTGATGATGATGAGGAGGAGGAGGACGATGATGATGACGATTAGTTATGATGCTGCTGCTGCAGCTGCTGATGATGATGATGATGATGATGATGATAGTGGTGGTGGTGGTGGGGGTGGTGATGATGATGATGATGATGATGATGATGATGATGATGGTGGTCATGATGATGATGATGATGATGATGATGATGATGATGATGATGATGATGCTGCTGCTGATGCTGATAATGATGATGGCGGTGGTGCTGTTGAGGATACCGAGTGCGCGCGCAGAAGCTCTGAGCCATTGTTATATCAAACATGTGTGGTAGGCTTTTGAACCTCCATTCTGACATGCTTGGAGCAATATGGTCTCGCAAGGATTTGGGCAGGCGCGCGCGCGCGGGGGGGGCTTGCCCGTGTGGTCCGCACCCTGTCGTTTGATAGAGTTGGCGAGTGCGCGGGGTTTGCTGAACGGCTTCGACATGCGCGCGCGACTGTGGCCCGTGTGGTCTCGTTGGACAGGGGCGCTTGGCTTTTCTACGATGTCAGCGGGTACGCGCGCACAGACGTCAATTGCATCTGACAGATGTTGTTAAACCTCGGGACAACGTAAGACTCGAGTTAACCAGAAGTCGGGTTTGCCGACGTTTTTTTGACGAGCGCGTCCTTGATTTTGACGGTCCGATTTTCGTGGGATGTTTGCAGTGGGAGCTCGCGTCAAATTTCCGATTGGGCCTCGTCATTTTCATGATGGCCCCGTCAGGCCATCCCAAGTCCCCCGTACACGAATGTTACGTTACGCCTCCCCGAAAACAGAAGTTGGAGTCTTACGGGTTTGGACGATTTTGTTGATATTTTTCTGCGCGTGTGTGGCCCGCATGGTATTGTTCGATGCAGATGCACCGGAAGTGCACTCCTAAGACCGATGCCAGCACAATCCCGACGGAATGTTTTTTACTATTTTCGGCCTCCGGGGTCCCTTACCAGGCCTCAGAATCGACAGGAAACGACTCAGGACGAAAAATCGGTCCCGGGGAATAAGTTGAGACCTCTGGGGGTCGACGTCATGAAAAAATCGTGACGTCGGGGGTCTGGGAAGGGGCCTTGCTTGGACGGTATGCGTTCACTCGGTTGAGCGCCCGAG